GCGTTGCTCCCGCGCCTCACTCAGCCAGTGAGCGGGAACCGGTCTGCATGTGGGATCCGAACCCTCGGGCGGGAGCGCCGCTGCACTCCCAAGCGGCGCACCCTCCCGTGCGCCCCCGGGCCGGCCCTTTTTTTTCTTTTTTTTTTTTTTTTTCTGATGCTGTTTTAAAGAAAGAAACAAACTAGTTGGCAGATTGAAATCTCTTCTGTACATTCATCTTTTGCCCAGATTCTTGGTTTGGAGTAAGATAGATATATTTCATATGGTGATTCCTGCTGTGTTAAAAATAGCATATTTAAACTTAACTGATAATTTCATTTTGATAAGATGGCTGATAATTTAAGTCTTGGATTCTCTAGGTCCCACATCCCCTATTACCAGCTGTGTGATTCATATTATGCTACATTATCTTGTAGAGTGTTCCTTTGTTTATAAAATTAGGATAATTTTTGCTTTTCCTACCTCATAGGATTGTTGCAAAGTTCAAATGAAAGTGAGATAGAATTTTGAAGGTTGTATAGGCTATAAATGAAGATTTCTAAAGTTCTCTGTATTTTCTTTTCATAGGAGTAAAACACAAATCTTTTCTAACAGCCGAGGACTGCTTTGAGTTGGGCAAAGTGGCCTATACAGAAGCAGATTATTATCATACAGAACTGTGGATGGAACAGGCCCTAAGGCAGCTGGATGAAGGCGAGGTTTCTACCATAGATAAAGTCTCTGTTCTAGATTATTTAAGTTATGCAGTATACCAGCAGGGAGACCTGGATAAGGCACTTCTGCTCACAAAGAAACTTCTTGAACTAGGTAGGTTTTCTGGGCTAATTTAAGGGTATAGTTGTATTGGGGAATCTATATTATTTCTCTGTCTGCATATCTAATTTATCCATTCATCCATATAACTTTGGTACTTTTCATTTGTTAGAAGTCAGGAGCCTTATCTATCAGACATTTGCTCACCTAACAGAACTGATATCGGAGGAGAGGGTCTGGGAAGGCCCCGTAGCCAGCCTCAATACACCCTGTCCTCTAGCAGGTTCTTGACTCTGCCACAGGAGAATTCAAGGACAGAGTCACAGTACAAAGTGAAAACAGATTTAATGTAACGGTTAAGAACAGGCTTCACAGAGAAAGTGTGACCTAGCTCCAGAGACTGAGCAGGGTCTGCACCAAGTTTAATATAGAAGTAAAAAATGCACACTTAACGTTTAGTGCAGAGTGTAGGCTGGCTTGAGAGTGAACCAACAGCCTCTTAAGTTCAACACAAAAGTAAAGTGTACACACCTCTCCCGGCAAAGTGTGGGTGGCTCCAGGAAATTGAGCAACCAACAGCAGCAAGTGTAATACAAAAGTAAGATATATGCATTTACAGACAAAGTGCAGGCTGGTCCCAGAGTGAACATCCGCTTCTAAAGGCAAGTTTGATACAAAAAAGAAATATACACCTCAGGTGGAGTACAGGCTGGCCTCAAAGAGAGTGAGCAGCAGCAGCCCTGCCTTCTACCAGGATTCAACTTTTATAGTTTTGCTATCTGATAGTAGTAATGCTGTCTAATGATTATTTAACTAAGGGGGTGGCTCTCAGTTATGTACTAAAGTTTTGCACATGCTCATTTTGTCTCTTTAGAGCCTCCTCATTGGTCAGATTCTAACATACCTACTGGAAAACACCCCTCCAGTGACTCTAGTGGAAGGATTAAAGGATAAAGTCACCTCCACTGAGCATGTTCAATTGTTGGGGTTATATAGCTCCTTTTTACTGAGCATGCTCAGCTATTGGAGTGATACAAATCTGCCCTTTGTGGTCTCAATTTCTCTGTGTTGGTGCCGAAAATAGATGCAATGAGCAACAGTAACTCTCCTCTAGAGAAGGGCCTAGAGGATAGGCCTAAGCCTTGGGGAATGACTTGAAACTCAGAGGAGTGTCCTAAAACCCGAACCCAGAGAAACTGAGCATCTCCTATCTCAGTACCACAATGATGGGTGTGTGTTCTTCATTCTTTAGGAATTTCAAAGGTGGATCTAACCTAGCTAACTTAGTCAAAAACGTTCATTTACAATGTTGCCATATTAAATGTTAGCCAATTTTCTTTGAAGGGTGTTTTTGGTTTATTGTATTTCATATTAAAAAATAAAGTCATTTGATATCAATGGACTGAAAATATATTTGGCCGGCATATTCAAATGTTAGAAAAATGAAATCTTATGAAAATTTTACCACTAGTACTTTGAACAAAGATGTAGTGTTGGTCCAAGGACCACATGCATCAAAATTATTTGCATACTTGTCAGAAATGAAAATTCTTTGATCTCTACCCCAGTCCTACTAAATCATAATCTCTGGAGATGGAGACCAGAATTCATATGAAAATAAATTCAGGTGACGTTTGGTATACAGTGAAGCTTTAAAACTTTTTTTTAAAATTATTTTTATGAATAGGAAAATATGTTAGAAGAGTCAAACACCTCAAAAGGATCGATCATCTGAAAATGAACCTTTCATGATTTTGTTATTTCTTAGTTGGGTGGATCAATAAATTGAGATACTAATTCAAGTAACTGGTTTTTCTTTGGCAGCTAGCCAGTACAGGACCTGCTGTTAGCAACACCACACTCTAATCATCTGAGCTAACTGGGCAGCCCTCAAGTAACATTTTTTTTTTCCCCAGTATTTTCCTCCTGATTTAAAGTGTACTTTGCACTCATTGTAGAAAATTTATCAAAACAGAAAAAGATGTAGAATAGTCATCCATAAGCCAGCCACCCAAAGATACACACAAATTTTTGTTTCCTTGTAGTATAGACCCCCCTCCACCCCCCACACACTTATTTTTTTAAATAGAAAATTAGGCTTATGTTGTATATATAGCATAACATATTGTAAGCAGTTTCTGAAGGACAAAAATATTTAACAGTATATGGCTAGATTTCCTAAACATTTCAATTAATTTCACAATTGAAGTCTCTACATACTGTTCTGACTTTTTAAATTTTTATGTGTGTATGTGGTTGTTTGGACTTTTTTTTCTCTCCAGTATGGGCAGTATAGTCCTCTTTTCTCTAAAAGGGAGCTAAAAATTATGGCTAGCAATTCAGAGGCAATTAGTGGAGTGTGGCTTATTTGAAAATTATACCATTAGTTTCCCTTTTCCTTCTTACTTTGAAATTTGGAACTGAAATCCACTCAGCCTCAGAAGTAGGCTATGTTCTGCATTTATATCTGTGGTAAAAGTTGTTTTTGAACTGTGTATGCTCTGTCTTCCCCATGGTGATTACCTTTCAGTCACAGGAAAATCTCTTCCATTGCTTAAAATAAGTAGGATGAGTAAGATTTTAAAATCCATTAGACATCGAATTAAACATAGTTAATTCAGCTGATTAGTAAGTTCTCATAGTATAAGCAATAGTTGCTACCTTGAAATAAATGGCTGTTCTGTCTCCAGAACTGTTTCTATTTAGGTTGACTATATGTCCTGATTTATTGGGGGCAGTATAAATTTACACCTATTGTTTTGGTATAATTTTTATTAGTGCTTCCTTTCACTCTCAAAAGCGTCTTGGTTTGGAAGATAAATGATATATTTCCTGTTTTTATATTACTGTATTCTAATACTTGAATAACTATAAACTTTCTCCTCTAATAGATCCTGAACATCAGAGAGCTAATGGTAACTTAAAATATTTTGAGTATATAATGGCTAAAGAAAAAGATACCAATAAGTCTGCTTCAGATGACCAATCTGATCAGAAAGCCACACCGAAGAAAAAAGGGGCCGCTGTGGATTACCTGCCAGAGAGACAGAAGTACGAAATGCTGTGCCGTGGGGAGGGTATCAAAATGGTAAAGTGGCAAAGCCAATTGTGTGTGTGTGTGAGAATGTTTGTATCTGTTTATACATTGTTCTAGAGAGAATCAGAGTTCTTGTATATTTAAGCCTATGTGGTAAAAATCAGAATGACTGCATAAAATATTACAGGATGCCACATTACCTCACTGTAGATGTCACACTCAATAAGCTACAATAGTTAGCAAAATAGCTTTAAAATAAAGCTTGTGAATCATATACCATTACATGCATTTGTGGTAATGTTTCCCTTCTCATAGATCAAAAGAGGTTTATTTTACAGGGTGAAGGATCAAATAAGTTGAGGGGAAGTAATAATTTTTCTTATTTAATGCAAAAGATTTCAGCAGTCTTAAGTAGAAATAATACACTATTCTAAGCAATCTTATGAGACATAACAGATCCATCTATATAATAATCTCTTGTGGTTTTGCTTCTAGTCAACCTTGACAAGATTGTTTAATGAAATATTTGAGTCTGTTTAAGAAACACCCAAAATGTAGAAATTTTCAACAAATTTTGACTTTAACATTTTTTCTTTAAAAGACCCAGATATACGTATAAATATCCCTTTATTATGTATTTATGTTTATGTATTTATAATTCAGAATGCCAGTTCTTCAGGATGTTAATAGATATTAGGCCAGAAACAAAAAAGTTCCAAGTCTGTTAAACTTTGTTAAACAGTTGAACACAGGTTTTTGTTTAGTCTTAGGATTTCTTAGAGGCTTTTTATGATAATGTGCATTACAGATATGATATACATTGTTTTCCAATATTGATTGGTCATGGAACCTTTTTAAAAAGACTATCACATGGTACTAGTGTTCAAATGAATGTGGGCATACATAGGAGTTAGTGAATTTTTGGAGTAAGTACTTTTAAATATAAGCATTTGGAAAGTGTTTAAATTTTTCTTTACTGCTAATAAAACTCAAGCAGGGCTTTACATTTTGATATTGATGACTGCTGGCAGCCTAACCACTAACAACAAATAAATACATCATATCTATGTTGACACTTGATGGCTAGGTTTATGGACTCTTGGGATGACATGCTTGCTCTTACTTGGGGAGCTAATGAGTAAATACAAGGATAGTAACACTTTGTCAGACTCATTAAACATGTTTTTCCATTTTATTTCTAAATATTTTAGTATGTATCTTTTAAAGATAAGGACTCAAAATAATGATTATTTCATTATCACACCTAAAAAAATTCACAGTAGTTCCATAATATCAAATTCCTAGTGTTCAGATTTCCAAAAGCAATCAGATATTTTTTATTATCCTTAATAACTCTTAAAGGAAGAGAACAAAAATAGAACAATAGGTACAAAACAGGAGTCTGCTAATTTGCCAATTTGTTGATGTGACACATGCATATCAACTCTGCTTTAGAACGAAGGAGCATCCTTTCGCTCAGAATAAATTCATCTCATCATTATATAGAAGACTTATTTGATATAAAGCCTTGGATTTGACCCTAGGTAAATAAAGTGCATAGAGAATAAACATGAATCATTTGTCTTAGTATATTATTTAATAATTAAAACAAACTAATCATATTCTTGCTTCATATATGACATAATTGTTTAATCAAGAGAAGAATCAGTAATGAAATAACTTGTTTCAGTAATACATAGATGATTGAAGGGAACATTTATTTGTTTTGTTGACTGTTCTATTTTTATATCCCCTCATAAAAACAACTGGCCTCTTTTTTTAATATCCTATTTTCTCTTTTTCAGAGCAACTCATTTTCACCTTTGCTCATAAAAATATTTGTTTTTGTTTTAGGAAAATTTGGTTTGGTTTTGCTTGTTTTTTTCCTTCTGGAAACTTTCTCTTTCCGTAAGCTTCCCAGTTACTTCATGAAGTTTGGAGCAAAGCTGGGCATTCATTTCATATTTCCATAAACATTTCATTGTTTCTTTCACACTTATAACACCTGGAACTTTATTTTGATGAGAGAAGGGTTAAAGGAAAAACCTTATTTTTTTCCTTAATTAAGGCCTCCCATCTCTTCCCCAGAAAATAATCGTTTTTTTAAAAATCCTGTTTGACGCAAAATATTTGCAGAGTACTACTACTTTTGTGTATTCTTCTGGAGATGCTCTTTTTAGGCTAGCATGATTATTGCTTCTTATCTATATAGGAATAGGTATTACAAATATTATTACTCTGATATATTTATCATTTTCTTAACTTTTGTTTAGACCCCTCGGAGACAAAAAAAACTCTTTTGTCGCTACCATGATGGAAACCGAAATCCTAAATTTATTCTGGCTCCAGCCAAACAGGAGGATGAATGGGACAAGCCTCGTATTATTCGCTTCCATGATATTATTTCTGATGCGGAAATTGAAATTGTCAAAGATCTAGCAAAACCAAGGGTAAGTAATTTTTTCTTTTTTCCTCCTCAATTTATTGTATCTATGTATCAATTTTTTCTTTGTAAGATAACAGAAAGGACAATTGATATGGCAATAACTCCACAGAAAGTTTTAGATACTGTTGCCTTGACATAATGGAGTTGTTAACTATGCTCTATTTATGCCAGTTTTTCTCTGTTATCAATGCAAGTATCATACCCTGCAACTGAGTTTTTTTTTTTTTTAAATAGTAAGCATATGCAAAGATTTATTCAAATTATTACTGAGGGAACCAGCAGAATGATAATGCTGATTCAAAGGAAGATATGAGAGATTGAATTTAAAATAGTCAGTGAAATAAAAAGTATGCTGAAGTAAGACTCTAACTTAGACATAAAACTAGTGTCCTAAACAGCAATAAAACCACAGTCTTTGGGGTCATCTTTTCCACTGGATGCTGTTACTTTGCATTTGCATCAGAAGAAAGTCATTTGCAACTTAATCTTCAACAATTAACATCTAACTTTACAGAATCTGGGTCCTGATTAGTAATAAATAGTAAATAATAAGTCAAAGTTATATTTCCCTTGGGTATCAGATGACCCTTAGGAAGGCTTGTTAGGCAGTGCTCTAGAATGGGGGTCAGCAGACAGGGCCACATAGTAAATATTACATCACTGAATATCGTTCTTTGCAACTGAGTTTTAAGCAATGAATTATGAAAATTATAGATGAGATTTTTATTCACACTTAACCAATTTGTGTTTCACCGTCTTCCTGAAAACTTTCCTATATATTGTGGAGTCTTTTTATCTCAGAGATTAAAAAACCCAACTTTCTCATTCTTTTAATATTTTTATCTGAAAGAAAACATGAAGTATTTTTCTTCCCTTTTAGGCACATTACTACTACAAAGATTGGGCACGAGTATCATGCTAATTTGAAATTATTATATCATAGTTTTCTGACTTTAACCCACACCATTTGTCTTAATAAGAAAAATAATCTAACATAAACCCAATCCTATAAACTTAGTGTTTAGCATAGAATCTTCTTTTGTGAGAACCTGGGAAAGACTACCCCTTATACTCTTGCCTTTTTTCCCATCAATTTGTTCTTGAAACATATTTGGTCTTATTGATAGTAAAATACAAACTGCTGTCACTTTCATAAAGACATAGTTAGTAAATGCTAGGCATATTTTTGCTCTTATTATTAGCAAATTTTTTTCTGTAAAGGTCAAGATAGTAAACATTTTTAGGCTTTGTAGACCATATGGTCTCTGTCACAACTACTCAACTCTGCTGTCGTAGTGCAAAAGCAGCCAAAGAAAATATGTAAACGAATGAGTGTGGCTATATTCCAATAAGATTTTATTTCCAAGAGTAGACAGCGGGCTGAATTTGGCATGTGGGCCATAGTTTGCTGACCCTTGCTATATCATAAAGGTTTGAATTACATGAATATCTGTAATGTAAAATAAACTTAGTTTTTTTTAAGTTTTAATATTTTTCCTAATTGGTACTCTGTTTTTTACCAAAGATTACATTATAAATGCAAAAGACTGGTCTGATATATATGGGTGCTAACCATGGGAATTCTTATAAATCTACTGCCAAGCAGAATGTTACTTATAATTACATCATATTCTGTTGTTCTCTTTTGAATTCCTTTATTTGCAGTCAATAAACTCAGTAAACCAAAATATCTTGACAAAATATTAATTAAGAATTCATTTTAGCATGAAGATTAAGTCTTGTATCTCTGGGTGTGAAGGCCTCAGTCTTCAAAGGAGATTCCTCAGTTTGGATTGTGTTTATCAATAAATTCAACGGCAATAAAATTTTATGCTCTTGTTAACTTCAAAATCATCCTTCCACTTTTAAAAAAAGTTTAAAATTATTATCTTGGCTATCATTTCTTTCTAACTGTTTTTAACATTTATGAGTTCTTTTCATTTGCCTTTATGCCTAGTCCAAGATTATTTCACTGAATATGTTACTGAATGGGTATCTTGAAGGAAGAAAAGATTGACCTTTAAAACAAATTTTAATAAACGACATTAACCTCTGCAAACAGTTTCATTACTAAAAAAAGAAAAAAATTACATTAAAGGTTTTAGGTTATTAACTGTAAATAGCCATTCTTATAACTATAAATTAGACTTTAAGTTTTAGAAATTTTTCTTTTCCTTACTGTCACATCCTCTAACTCTTGAAAGAAATTTAATTTCCAATCTCTTTTGTTTATGTACTCTCCACCCATGCAAAACAAAAACAAATAATATTTTAAGAATACAAAAACTTAAAAAATCAACTGGCTTTCAAGGCCCAACACAAGGTGACTGGAAGTGTATGGAGTTATTTCCTCTTTTCAGCCTCCTTTGTAAAACCCCCAGAATTCTGACTGGTTGGATAAATGTGATTCATTTTTTGTCTTGTAATGCAACTATTTTGATGGTTGGCTTCACAGCTGAGGCGAGCCACCATTTCAAACCCAATAACAGGAGACTTGGAGACGGTACATTACAGAATTAGCAAAAGGTAAGAGATATGTGTGCTGCATATTTTGCCCTCTAATAAGTGTTTTGTACATCCTACAGGAATTATTCATTTAAGGAAAGTAGGTCATTTCAGTCTCCAGCTCAAGTCACCACCTTGCATATAAACAGGATAACGCATGGATAAACTGCTCTGTGTTTCACAGGTCTTTCCCTTTAACTAGAAGTTCTGTTTTCAGTCTTTAATTGGTCTGTTATTTTTAGAGAGTTAATATACTTTTTTCAGATCAGGTATTAAATATGCAGGAAATGGCCTGATAAATATTTTCTTTTTCCCTTTTGTTGCCAAAGGGGGAAATAGAGAAAAAGAAGCAGTCTGGTTAATCTGGAAGTAGTCCTTGCTTATGCGGTTCTCTCACATTCTTATGCTGCAGTGATTCACATCATCCTTCGTGGCAATTGTGTTGGCATTTGTTCATACATCTTGTAAAATACCGTTGTCATTATGGAGTAATCTGTATTCTCTCTGTTGGAATTTTTTGTTTTAAAAACTCCTGCTGACTCAAAAGTTGAAAATGGGAAGAGCTTTTGAGTTCAGTGTTTCAAAAATTACTTGTGAACTTAGTTGCCTTTTACTTCTCCAGAGATACTTAAAGTGTTTTATCTTGGTAAGAATTTTAAAAAATGAATTTGAGACTAGTATTTTTTTTTTTCAAAATATTTAAGGAACATTAAACTTCTAGATCTGAGAAAGCTCCTGTGAAACCCACTGCTGTAAATCATTTACATACAACTTCAAATGATTTTTTGTTAAAAAAAGTGAAAGGACAATAAATCTACAAAAAAAAATCTGTCAACACATTTTCTCTTGATTTGGACATGGCTATTCTCATTGCCACCTTTCTAAATGTTTTTGCTGATTTGAAACCATTACCTATCATCCAGACCAATCCGAACCCTTCCAATCACCTGTGGCTTGGCAAAACAAAACAAAATGAACAAAAGGCCCAAATTGCCTGCTACTGGAGTAAGTCCTTGTCCTTTCTCTTTTTTTGTAGCTGAGCCGAGCTACAGTACATGACCCTGAGACTGGAAAATTGACCACAGCACAGTACAGAGTATCTAAGAGGTAAGGGAGTAATGGAGAGAACTTCAGCTATAGTTGGACCATTTTCTTTATTGAGAATCTAATTTTCACAAAACCCATGATATGGTTTCTAAGACCTAGGCTATTAGGCGTAAGTATTTGATATCTGTGCTTGAATTTTCATGATGGACTAATAAGACATGGTTATGAGGCAGTTAATAGACGTTTTCCAAAGTAATTAATTAAATTACAAAATGCCTGGTGAGCCTCCCCAAACCCTAACTGATAAGTTGTGTTGTATTGAAGCAAGAGAAATTCCCAAAGACCCTTCACAGAACAAAGCTCTGTAGGAAAGCAAGGGTTTAAAAATGTCTGGGTCACCCAATAGTTGTAGGTATTTAGAAAGTAAATGCCTTGAATGACTACATAACAAAGCCTTTGCAAGTCAATCAATTTCAAATTCCTTGCTTTTAACAATGTTTAAAGAGAGTCTAATTAGATTATTAGCTGATAGATACTAAAATAGTTTTAAAAATAAATCACTTTGTAACTTAGGTATATAAGTTGAAAGGAGCTCCCAGAATTGAGTGACATTATTCTAAGAAAACTCCTTTTCCATCTACATACCCATGTGAAGGTTTCTCAGCACTAATAAAAATGAAAAGAGGAGTTTATGACTGAGACCACTATATTAACAAGAGAAAAGCATACAGATTTATTTAGTGTAAGTTTTACATGACACAAGAGCCTTCAGAAATGAAGACCTAAAGAAACAGGAAACGTGTCATGCAGAAGTATGATTGGACAAAATAGGTATGACCAGCCAGTGATAAACTGGAGGGCACTTAGCAAGCCGTTTGTTCCGATACTTCTTGGTGTCTCTGTATGTTGGAGGATAAGAATATTCCTTCCCTCTGAGCATAGGGGTATACCTCTGGAATGAAAGTCTTATGATCTACTTCAAAGGAAGGTCAGAGAATTCTTTTATGTACTGATTCAGAGGAGATGAGCGGGAGAAGGTCATAATCTTCCCACTTAACGCTGTTTCCTCAAATGCCAAGATGCCATATTTTGGGGTAGAGTGTCCTGAACCCCATGAAAAGACATTAAAAAAAATTAAATTGGCCATTATCTTGTTTTGATTTTAATGATAGGAACAATTATCCTTAAGGAACAGTAATAGGTGGTAGGATTTGCAGAAATGGGTTTTTGAGGTTTTTTTGGGGGGTGGCTGGCAGGTATGGGGATTGGAACCCTTGACCTTTGTGTTACAAGAAATGAATTTGGATAGACATGTTTTGAGACATGATTTACAATGCTTGTGAGCATTGTAATTAGTCCTAATTTTAAGTAAGCTTAAGCTAATGTTCATTCTATTGCAGAACCTTATTCATGTCTATAAAAATTAATCCCTTTTTAAAATAAAAAACTTAAGCTGTTATATTTTGTCAGAGATTATTGCATGCTTTGAAACATTTTTACTGTCATAAGGTTTGTAAGTATATAAGTTCTCCATATTTGGATGCTTCTAGGAAGGATATACAATAAAATTTCATGAATTCAGTGTTTTGAAGACATTTTGGGGAAATTTTCTGTATATACAATGGACCTTTTTTTTTTTTTTTTCCCCCCCTTTTTGTTTTTTTTCGTGTCCGG